CCAACCCCGGGGCAGGGGCCGCCGCGTGTGGGCACAGGCTCGCCCCCTGCCCCGGGCCAGCTCCCTTCTCTCGGCACCCCGCCTCGCCTCACCTCGCCAGCGCAGCCCGCTCCCCGGGCTTGGGCCACTGTACAGGGACTCCTTGCCTCTCGTCCACCCGCACACACGCGCCTCGGGGGCGCCGTGCCCAGCCGTGACACGGGGAAGTCCCCTGGGTCACTCTGGGCATGCACTAGGGGCGGCTGGCATCACACACACATCAACAAAATCATTATAAAATCACAGCGCAGGGGGAGTGCAGGGAGAGAGGCCAGAGACATCACACGGACACAACCTGAAATAAACTTGGCTGGCAAACCAAAGGAACAAACACAAAGACTGTGATGGGGGAGGAGGGGGTGTATATGGCTACACATCTGAGCTGCCTGCTTTTAATTTTTTAATTTTAGGAAGTCCCCCCTGAAGTACCTCTGTACAAAGCTGGTGTGTGTGTGTGCTCGCGCACGTGTGTGCTGACGTGTGTGTGTAGATATACGTGATTACAAAGCCGAGCACCTTTAATTGTTTAGGGTGTCTCCCAGAAGCACAGTCCATGTCTGTATAAAGCTGCTGTGCTAGTGCGTGTGTGTGCGTGCCGGCGCATGTGTGTGATGTGCAGACTTACATGACTACAAACATGAGCTGCTTACCTTTGATTTTTTACTTTAGGAAGTCCCCCAGAAGCACAGTCAGTGTCTGCACGAAGCTGCTGTAGTGCTGAGGAGCTGCTGGAGTGAGTCTCCGAAGAGTGAGAGAAGGGGATGCAGCTCTGTCCTTATTAGTCTCACACAGTGTGACCCTCCCACTCAGCGAGCACAGAATACACTCTGCAAGACAGGACAAACACCAATGCAGATGCTTTTTGCATAATTGCACTAATATCTTCCAAGCCTGGTAATAATATGAAATAAAAATGTTTTTTATAAACAGTTCCACTAATAAAATTGCCTGGGTTTGTTTGTATGAATGAGAGGGTGTCTGGTTTCTAGTTGTGGAGCATTCACTATGAAGTACTGCATGACATTAACACACCAGTGGGGAACTGGCTTTTAACACACAAATGTAAGCACACATCATTAATTTTATATATTTTTATCATAAATTTAAAACCAACCAAGGAATGCACCTATTTATGGCACTGATGTTGCAAAGCACAGCAGATGACTGGTATTTGGTTTGCCTTTTTAAGCCTATCATTTAAAAGCCAGGGTGTTCTTGAACTGTAATATCATCTGTCTGTGATAAAATGGTGACATTGAGCCTTGCCACTAATTCTCACTTCAATATGCTAAACTGCACTTTTTTGGGGCCCTCCAAACATGTTCATGACAGCTTTCCAGTGTAGCCTTTTGGCAGACAAACCAGAGAATAAAAGGATCTAGAAAAAGCAAATGACTGCAAATAGAAACGCTGAAGGTAGAGAGAGCAGGATCTTGTTTTAATGCATCTAATTTAAACATATTTAAGTTGTTAACTTCCTTTTTTCTACTGGAACATTTTTGAGGCAAAGACACTTATACAAGGGGGTTATAGTGACTTGTCATGAATGAATTTCAAAGGGTTTAGCAGTTTTAGGTTGACATTTATGAATGTTGGTCTTAAAAATCAGAGAATGGATTAGGTTTTTCTGACAAGATTTTGATCAGTGCTTCATGGTTTCAACCAAAATGAAATATCTGGGCAGCATAACAAATGAGTCAGAGTTGATGTCATGGTTCATACCCTTTTATTCTATCTTTGTGTCATGACTTTTAAAATAGTATCTGTGCTTCTCAGCTCAGAATCATAGCAGGAATGGAAAGATGTTCATATAGCTAAGTATTGGTGTGGGAGTCAAAATCCTGTTTTCATTTGTAGTCCTGCCACAGACTTGCTGTGTGACCTTGAGCAAATCAGTTTCTCAGTCTGTAAAATGCACATAAGACGTGAATATGTGTTTGTGGGATCCAGCTCAGGTTTAGGCAGCTTAGTTTAAATGGCCTAAGCCTGGGTCAGGATCAGCACGTGCAAGCATTCATGGCTTGCCAGGATGAGGCATGGGCAGGGGAGGCAAGTAAGTTGAGGAAAGGGGGCCAATGGGTTGGGAGATATGGGTCCACAGTGGGGGCTGGCAGGTTTAGGGGGAGTGTTAGCAGGTTTAGGGGGAGGTGAGGGCTGCCCTGTCCAGGAGCACTTGTCAGGGGGTCAGAATAGCCTAGTTAGGGTGTGTGAGGCCCTGGGGCAGGGAGCAGAACGGTGCAGCCCCAGAGCAGGGCTAGAAATGTGGAAAACTTCATTAGGCCAGGTGAACTCTTGCTAGCTCAGGTTAACCCCATGATCAAATAAAGTTATTTCTTGTTTGACAATAACTAATTTTAGATCTGGTGCACCATTCTTAGGGCAACTTAAGCCCTGTGAGCTGCCCTACAATTGGTTAGGGCAATCTAACCTAACACTTGTAAATATCCATAGTAATGTCTTCCTACCTCACGGGGTGAGCCATAGGGGCCTGATCCAGTAGCCAGTACTCGCTCTTCTCAGTAGTTCCTTTGCTGTGGGGCTAGATCTGTTGCAAAGTCTCTTCTTATGAGTATTGATTTAAAAACAAGAATTTTATGTTCTCATTATTTTTTCATGCTACAAAAATCCTGCAGTGCTTCTGTTTTGCTCCAGTTCACATGTCCTAAAAACCTTGGAATCAGATCTGCTAGAAAGGACTCCTGCATCCAGGCAGCATCTGACTGGCTTCACTGGGTTCCAGTGTCCAAGCAATAAAATTGCTTTGGCAATGTTTTACAATGAGCTAAAGATACTTTTTAAATCCCACAAACAAAAGTTTGTACATGTGATATAAATATTCCAGACTTTTAATTAGTTATGTTTCCAAAGACAAAAAAATGGTGGGAATATCTAGGCTCAACATTAGGAAAAATTTCTTCACAGTCAGGGTGGCCAGAGTGTGGAATAAGCTCCCTCCAGGAGTGGTGCAGTCACCTACCCTGGAAATCTTCAAGAGGAGACTAGACAGTCACCTTGCTGGGGTCACCTGGCCCCCCAGTTATCTTTCCTGATTGGTGCAGGGGGCTGAACCCGATGATCGTCCAAGGTCCCTGTCAGCCTTACAATCTATGAATCTATGAATCCAGACAGACGCACAGAGTTGTCAGTGCCCTAGACTTGGTCCTTGGTTTGATATGGACACAAAATAAAAGGGAGGGAGTAAGCCCAATGAAAACCTAACTCCCTTAACTGATCAAGTCAGTTTGTCCATGATGCAGACATACAAATTCTGCTCATGAAAGGCAAGATAAACCAAAGCCATGGCCCTTTCCTGAAAACTCTTGGGATGAAGTTGCACATCACACACAGACTATACAAAAATTGTTGAATGGTAAACAGCATTAAAGTTAGAATGTGCCATGAGCAGTTGCACTTTAAGGCTAGGGGCAGAAATTACACATAAACCAGTATAAGTGATCGGAAACCAGTTCAAATCTGTAACACAACAGAACTTCAGTACACATAAACCATTTTCAAAATGGCTGATACCTGCTGAAGATAGACTTAGATAGATGTAATGTCAGACTTAACAGATCTAGGTTAAATTGGTTTATTGAACTTCTGTCCCAGATCCTTTCCAGATTCAAGTTAATTCACAATCTCCCAGCATCCCAGGATGTTCTGCACCTCCTGCACAAGTCCCACCCTCGAAGGATGGGTGTGCTAGCCTTGGCCCAAGCTGTCTGCCCCAACCAAGCAGGGAGGCTTGGCTCCCCCTGGCTTCTGGCCTGGGCCACTGCAGGCATGTGGCTGCATTTCTGGAATCAAAAGTGAATGTCTGTTCACTTGCTTATCAAGTCAATCTATGCAGCTTAAACTAAGTGAATCGACTGGGCTTTTTGAGTATCTGTACTTAACCTAAGGGTTAAAACTGTTTCTTGCCTGCACTGCTCTGACTTGCCATTAGAGGACTGGTGAACAAAGGTGTGGCTAGGAGCCAGGACACCTGGGCTCTATCCCTGCCTGGGGAGGTGGGGGGCAGCTGGGAGTACTACATCCTGGGACACTGGAGGACTGCAGATTGCTCATTTTATTTCTGTGGAGCAGACTGAAGTTAATCTAACACGAGTGAGGTAGCACAACCCAGAGTTAATCCTTGCCTGAAGTAGCGTAACTTTGAGACACTCAGAGGGCACTTAGCATGAGTTAGCAAGCTTTAACATGAAAATGCTCATGTTTTAAGTTCCGTTAGTGTGGTCTAAGCATAACACGGAACATCATCCTTGGACCTTGCCAAAACAAACTTACAAAAGGCACTACCTAAATGAAGGGAGAATTGGTAAAGTACAACAGCCTGTAAAACACTTTGGCCCAGCTACTTTTGAAGACAGTAGGGCTGCATTATTTTACACCATCTGACAAGCTAGTGCTCAAACGGCAAAGCACCATTGCCTGTAGTGATCAATATAGTTTTGGGAGACTACGGAAGAAAAAATTGGGAAGAAGGAAACCTGGCTGTTTACAAACTGCTGCCAGGAAGAAGACAAAAGAGCCTACATCTCTTTTGCCATATAGATATCAAAATCACAACTGAAAACATGTCTCTGAATCATAGACCATTTTAAAAATTCAAATTATCTTCACTTGTCAATGACAGCAGGCAATTATTAGCTTATTTTAAAGAAAAGATCATCTTCCTCAGCGTTCTTTCCCCTGAGGGAGCTGGTCAGATATAAGCAGGAATTCTTGGAATATGTAGCTAGTACCCAACACAACCCCTCTTTCATAGCAAGTGTAAGTTGCAGAATTTCTTAATTTTCTCTGTACATAGCCCAAACCAACATCAGTATGAACAGCAGAGGCTAAAACTGAGCCTAGAGAAGACAGAGACCAGGCTGACTGGAAGAAAAGAGTACTCAGAAAAAAATTACATCCTAATCAACATTGTCTGGCACCCTTTAACAAGTCATGGAACAAAACAACCTGGTTCCAGTTCAATATGGGCCTTGTGGTTTCAGTGTCATGTCAGGGGCAGGGGGCTTTGCCTATGCCTATGCCAAGACTAAACAGGTAGGAGCAGCACTCATGCTACTACCACTCTCTGCTTGCACTGTAGGCACAGCTTCCAGCAGTGAGGAGCTGTAATAGGGATGGGTATCTGGAAGCTGCATCCTTACTGCCACCACTAAATTAATTAATATTTGTGAAGTGTTTGAGATCCTTGGATGCAAGAAAAAGACTTGTGTTTTAACATTTTAGAACATCTTACATAACTATCAAAAGTGAATAAGTTTATGACATAGTTTTCCTATTTACTAACTGCAAAA